AAATATAAAAAAGATGGAAAATAGTCGTGGAAAATAGTAGAAAAAGTGGGCGCTAGTGGTGAGGCAGTAGACAAGCAAAAAGAAGTGTTGCCACAAACCGGGATCGAACCAGTGACCTTCAGATCTTCAGTCTGACGCTCTCCCAACTGAGCTATTGCGGCTACAAATGCTACAAACACCATATTAATCCACTTAAAATATCACATATTTACACTTTTAAATCGCATTAAAATTCGCACCATCAACGCCACTCATACATCACACTAAAATATCACTCATAAACCCTCGTCGCGCTCTCCAACCATCCCCTACGCTTCAATACAATTGTTTAATCTGTATTTTCATTATTAAATTACAATACAATTATTTTCTATTTCACCAACACACCTACCTCACTTTACATTATGCGACTCATTTCATCACCAACAAAACTGTATGTAAAGCTATATCAGCTCGTTTTAAATCGCTTCACCTAGCGCCTCGAGACGTAAAAGAGCCATAACTTCGCCGTTCGTCATCGTACAATCTCGTGGCTAGGACATTTTCGATAGGAAAGACTACGTACTCGATACCATCTTCGTTGCGATAGTGCTGCGATCGTAACTATTTTTTAATTAATTTAATATAGTGCAGTATTTTAATAGCATTTCAAGTGCATTCAAAACGGCCCCATCAGAATTGGCGAGAGCGACAAATCTCATATATGCCTTTGGCTACATGAATGACGAAAATAGTATATACGAGCTCGGTGGACTAATTTATGGCTCTCTTGGGCACAGAGTGACGATTTTCTAAAGATTTTTTGAAATGGCTTGCTTGAGCGTACAACGATGCGGTTCCGAGCTCATTTTGTAGGCGTTCGAGCAAAGTTATACTAATACAGCGAATATAAAAATATTTCATTTTTGGTCAATTTGTACGACACTGCGTTGGCTTGAAAAATTCATTCAATCTCAAAATGGAAATGAAGCGCTTCTGTGAGGCGAAAAAATCACGAATTTGACATGACGAAATCAAATGAAACGTGTGCATGCGCAATACTACGATCTTTTTATTATCGTTTCAATGACGTCCCAAGAATATCCTGAAAAAACACATTTAATGGACTCATGATGAATCAACTTGTAACGCGCTCTAAATTGGTGAAAAAGCTCAACGACCCCATATAATGCACACAAAATACTCAAAGATGCGTTTCATATTCGTTGCTAATGGACATAATTAAAAAAACTTTGAAGACGATGATACGCTCCAAGAGAAAAATCGATGCTGAAATTAAAGGAATAAAAATGGTGCATCAGTAGCCCTTCGAAGAGTCCATACACGAGAGCAAAAATCAGGAAATATGATTGCCTACTATGAAATGAAACGATTATTTGTATGCAAGGGAATGCCGCAGGAATGCTAGCATAAATGTAGTTAAAATATCGTAAATATAAAAAAGATGGAAAATAGTCGTGGAAAATAGTGAAAAAGTGGGCGCTAGTGGTGAGGCAGTAGACAAGCAAAAAAGAAGTGTTGCCACAAACCGGGATCGAACCAGTGACCTTCAGATCTTCAGTCTGACGCTCTCCCAACTGAGCTATTGCGGCTACAAATGCTACAAACACCATATTAATCCACTTAAAATATCACATATTTACACTTTTAAATCGCATTAAAATTCGCA